TATAAATATATAAATCTAAATATATAAATATAAATATAAATAAAATATAAATCTTTTTTGAGAAGCCTACCCCAAAAGTCCTGCCTTTCCTAAAATGCTACCACTCCCATGTAGGCAATTCTTGAGCCTGACAATCCACTGGGAAACTGTTGGCCTGTGCTATAACAGGATCATCCTCGTTCTTGCTCAGTTGACTTCTGACTTTGCAGGATTTTATCCTGAGGTTATTTTCCCTGTTGTTATTTTGGATCTTGAGTCATTGTCACTGTCTCGGTTTCACTTCGCTCTTTTCTGATCTTGCATGGGATGCCACAAAAGCTCAACCAAAAAAAAAAAAAATTCCTTTCTCAAAGCTTGCCAAGATCATGGAGCCTGTGCTTCTTCAAGGGTGGTCAGCATAGGTGAGCCCCTGTGGTGTGGATCATGCAATGGTTATTTGTTCTGGAACTTCATGGGTGTTTTGAGCCCAGTAATTAATAATATTTACTGGCTGTTTAACCTTGCTTCCCGTGGTTTACTAAGGGTGTGACACACTGTCAGGCTCCTGCTGAAATGCTGAAACTCCTTACTCATGCAAAGAAAGTTTACAGCAAGGATTTTATCAGGAAGAAATGCAGGTAAGGGATAGAAAATATTTCAGAGAAGAGCCTGTGATTTCGAACGGCACAAAACCAAAACATCTGCACTTGTAAGAAAATGAATGCTAACAAATGAGACCTAGAAATGAGAACCAGAATATTGTATCTGGTGTTATAATGATACAATATTCCGTAGTAATTTTATGAATAAACTGGGTTTGTGCTTTCTTTAGAGTGGTTGCCAAGGTATCTGCACTTTCTCTAGTATTCTAAAGGTATACGTAGAATTTCATAGCCTAGACTTCAGTAGGGAATAATGGATAGCATGATCTCATATATGTAAACAATTGAGTGCCTTCAGAAATCATAGTGTACATCTCTGACTTTCTGCAATACACCACGAGGTGTTCTCTCACAGTAACTTTATTCCTGTAATATGTACCTCATTATATTCACGGATGGGAAAATCCAATAAAATTAAAAAGCCTCGTAAATGCATACCCCAGCACTGGGGTTTGGCCTGACTTCTCTAAGGTTTTGGAAGCTCAGTTCATCTCAGAAACACAGGAAATATTGGGATGTTGTCAGCTCACATTTCTGTACAATATCAACCCGATTTCCAGATCATAATGTTTTGGATACAGATCAAAACAACTCGGGGAAATAATAAAAAAATATGTCTGAGCAGAAAACTGTTCACATATGTCTGTCACCTGTAGATTTACAGGTTCAGAGATCAGCCAATCAGGAAATAGCCACATTCCACCTTTGGATTCATATTAAAAAGTTAAAAGACTACAGCTCAGACATAGTAAAGTCCACAGTTAAAAAAGCAGGATTAAGGCTCACGTGACGAGGAGCCTATTTCTGTCTGGCATCAATCACTTAATTCAAAGTGGCTTGGCATTTTAAGATGTGAGGCACTTCAGACATGCGAAGAGCATTATTTTTTTTTCAGCCTAATTTGACCCGAAAACATGAGGTATTTAATTCATTATTTGCAGCGCTGTGACATTTCACCGCTGCTTTTTCGGTATTCGGTGCTCGTGCCCAAGCGGCAAAAAGCAGCTCCTTTGCCCTTCTCTGGACTTGCTCCAGCTCCTTAATGTCTTTCTTGAACTGAGGGGCCCAGAACTGGACACAGGCCTAATTTTAATTTTCTTCTCAGAGTCCCTAATCTTCTTCACCTGTACCTTGGCTGAAGGCTAACAAACTATTGGGGAAAAAAGTGGAACTGCAAAATGTGGATTCCTTGTATTATGAAAATAAATGCAACATTACTTAGTTAGTTCCCTCCCTCTCATAAGGAAAAAAAAAAAGAAAAAGATAAATATCAGTAGCAAAATGATCTTTTAAAACATGACTGCAATATCTGGCAATTAATATTCTGTTTGGAGTTTGACTGCTTTATGACTTTTCAAATGTCTGTTACTCCATAAACCAGAACTTTAATCTGACTTAATGAAATGGTATTCACAGCACCTTGAGAACTGATGGGATGTGCACACTGGCCATGGATTAACTGTGGGGCTCATAAAAATTGCAGAAGATAAACCCTTTCCAAATCCAGAGCAACAACCCCATTGGTGAAAAGGTTCGAGGGAAAGCTGACTTGCCAAATCAGATATACAAGAAGTGTGTACTGAGAGTCATAGAGATAACAGGTGTTCATTTAAGATTTTGTTGCTAAAGAAGCCTTAATTAAAAGAAATGTCAATTCAGTCCCTCAGATCATTGGAGCTGGGCAGCCATAGGTAGGAGTGAGTGGCTGGTAAAAATTATTTTAAATGTTATTTAAATGTTAAATAAAAAATTATATGATTTCCTGGCATCATCACACAGGGTTTAGAATAAACTTAATAGTAATTGCATTTGATTTTTATTATTTTTTTTTCTTTATTCCCATAGGACTACACCCACCATTAGGTTGTTCATGACAGCTAGAATATCTCTGTGCTGCTGTGCCCTCTGCTTTATTCATTTTGGAGCAGGGGATCCTGCTAGCTGTGGTTCAGAACCTTCATCTGAACAAGCAAGTGAAAGATAAGTGTAGAATTTTATATTACCTAAAATCAGCCCCTCTCACAAGTTTCCCTTCTGTATGGCAGCAGTAACAGAGCAACATCAGCCCACACAAAACATCAGAGGTCAAGCTGCTACTTTTTAAAGCTACAGGTAGAAATTTCTGGGGGGAAAACCCAAGGTTAATTACTTTTTTTCATGCTTTCTGTTATATTTTGTTTCCCCTCTGGTTGCTTAATGGAAAAATGATTGCTTTGCTCAGAGAACCTCACAAATATTGAATCGCTCGCATTGGCAAGAATTCAGAAAAACACTGACATCTGGGAGGGAGCCAAAGAAAGCCTATCTTTTAATTAAATGAAATAAAAGCAAGAAAAAAAAAATTGATGCTCGAGAGTGAGTTTTGAGCACCTATAGCATGGTTTTCCAGTGTGTCAAAATTCTTGCAGTCCTCTTCAGAGCAAACTGCACGTTTTGACTCTGCACTCTTCTTGTGCAGTTCATCCTTGTCCATCTTACTCCAAAAAAAAAGCATGTAACACTTGTTTCCTATGCAATTCCACAAGACTGGATAGATTATCATTATTATTGGTTCTTAGCTGGGAACTGTTCTTCAAGCCTGTCTGCTCTTCTGAAACTTCACAATGGAATTCCTATAAGTTCGCAGATTTGAATATACTTTGTCTCCCACACAATGTCTCATGAAAGAGTTTCTGCAAGAACTGATGCTTATCAAGCTCTCTATTCACTGTCCTGAAAGATAATGCTAGCAATAGTTCTCTCTCATTCTGTGCTTCCCAAAAACTTTCCCTCGGGTTGTTTCTCAAACTGCAAGATCATGGTCTTCCAACAAAGCCACCTCACACTGACTATTCTATTAATTCACTTCTTTGTCTAGTTGTTCCTCGTTTTGGTGTCAAGCATTCAGCTGGCATTTCAGGTATGACCTTTTCAGCTTAGACAGAGGCCTGGCCAGTCAAGGCCTTATATTAAAGAATATGCCTGAGAAAATGGCAACCAAAATGCTGTTTACTCATGAATTACCCCATCGGTCACTCTCTGCAAACCTCCTTGCATAGAACCACTTCCTCTGGTTTCTTTCCCTGCAAATGAGTCTGAAAATCTTTCCCTAAAATCATAGAATCATTTAGGTTGGAAAAGACCTTAAAATCATCAAGTCCAACCATGAGATAAGTTTTAGGTTGCTTTTCCTCGTAAAAGCAAAAATAGAATTGAATCCAGAGCTTCCCCTCTCCTGTTGAGGGCTCCAATCCATTGCAACAGCACCTGGTTTTTTCACAAGGCAGCAGCTTTTCTTCCATCTATGCAAACTATGACATCAAGGTGCTACCTTTGTGTGGGATGAATTCCCTAAATACCTCTGTATAACCCTCCTCCAACTACACAGGTGTAACGTAGAGAGTGGTCAACATAAATCCTGTGTCCTGGGCACTTAGGGCTCTTATGGTCCACCTTGGTCTTAGAGCCCCATGTGTCACATCAGGGACAGTGGCACATGTACTGAAAGGACACCGGGCAGGGTGAGGTGAAAATGGGAAGGCTTTAGAGACTCAGTCTAGTCTTAGCCTTTAACTACTCGTTTGCCCAGGTGTGCAAACAGGGGCAGGGAGGTCTTGTGTGGAAATAGCAGGCACATGTAGCCTATAAGAAAGGAGTTAGAGGTGGGAGAACTGCAGCTGTGGGTGTAGTACCTAATCCCTTGGTGTGGGGTGTTCTGCTGACAGCTATGATACCGATTCAGTCATCAGTGGGCATCTTACCCAACCTCTCTGGGGCTGGCTTTTTTCCAGCACTAATAAACTAAAAACAATAATGCGGTAATGAAATAAATACAACCTTGTAAAATTAATTAATGCTTGTACATATGGTACATACAGTACATACTATAATAAGGGGATATAAAAGCGTCACGTCTTGCTGATTCTCATGTTGGGTTGAAAATATCTTTGTAAAGGGTCTATCTTCCATCACTGGAGCGGGAAAATTACTACTTGTGGAAAGGGTAGGTATACTGCATATCTCAGCTTCTTCCTAACGCTCCTAAGACAAATTGTGTAATTAACTTAATATGCCGATCCTATAACTCCCGTTTCTGTGCACAACGTTATCCCCGAACATTTTAACCGCAGCGGTAAATTCTGCTACAAGCCGAGCAGGCAAGGAGGTGCAATAACCTTGGAGGACGCCCGAGGGACCACTCGCCCTGCCCCTCCGTGATGGATTTGGGAGCTTTCGGTCCCGTCCTCCCCCTCCCCGCCCTTCCTCCCCTGGCCTTCTCCCCGGCGCGTGCGGGGGCTCCAGCCCATCCCGGCCGCGCTTCCCGCATTCCCGGCCGGCCGCTCACGCCGGCGCAGGCGGAGCGGGGGAGGACCAGGGCAGGGAAGGGGCTCGGGGAGGCGCTGAGGAACCGCCCGCTCCGGCCCCCAGCGCCCCGGGCGGCCCGCAGGGCGGCACAGGAGCCCCGGCAGCCCGGTAAGGAGGAGGAGGAGTGGGGGGGGAGTCGCTGCGGGAGGGGGGGAAGGGGAAAAGGGAGAAAGAGAGAGAGAGAGAGAGGGAGGGAGCCCTCCTCTCGCCCGCCGGTTCCCGCGGGGGCTGCCGCCCGCACACCCTGCGGCACCGCTGCCGGGGAGCGGCCGAGCGGGGCTGCGCCCGCGGCCCACGGGCGGTACCGGCGGGGGCCGGGGAGCGAGGGGGGCGGCCTCCGGCGGGGACGGGAGGGGAGGGGGACGGACACACGCGGGGGACCGAATCCTGCCGGGGATGGCCCCTCTCCCCCGCCCCGGGGGCGCTCGTGGTGCCCGGCGGCTCCCGCCGCAGAACCCGCGGCGCTGAGCCGGCCACGCTCGGTCCGCACCGCCGGCCGGGCGGGAGCGCATCCTCCCCCGGGTGCGGGCTCACCCTCCCGTGGGTCCCGGCTTACCCTCCCCCGGGTGCGGGTTCGGAGCAGCGGGGCAGGCGCTGCGGTTCCCCTCCTCCCCTCCCTCCCCTGGCCGGATACACAGTGTCAGACCCGGAGAGCGAGGAGAGAGGCTTGGTAATTATTTTATTTTATTTCCTTTTTTTTTTTTTTTTCCCCCGTTCTGTTTCTCTTTTCCTCCTCCTCCTCTTATTTGCCGGGAGTTGCTTGCGTGCTGGTGCTGGAGGGGGGGGGATACTGGGAGAGGAAGGGAAGGCGAGAGGGGCAGTGGTTTGGAAAGGTGAATTGGTTGGGAAAAGCGGTAGCTGAAGGTAACAACCACCCGCTGGGGCACGCTGGAGGGAAGCGAAAAGATGAGATGAGATAAAATGAAAACCACCACCCCAAACGCCACCTAAAAAGATGGGGGGGGGGGAGAGGAAGAGGCGACGGTGTGGAGGGAGGATGGCCGGGGGCGGCGGGGCTGGGATGGGCTGGGATGGGCAGAAGGACCAGGATGGGCTCTGGGTGGTACCCCCGGGGTGGGGATCAGCTTCGTTTTTTATTTGGGAGAGTTGGAACCGGGCGCGACCGCGTGTGAGTGAGGGCAGGATGTGGTGAGCGCCTCCCGCCCTGCCCACGGCAGGGTTTGCTCCGGGTAAACCTTCAGTGCTGGGCTGTCTAAAAAAAAAAAATAAATAAATGAAACAAAGGAAGGTCTAATTTGAGGGGAGGCTTGCATTTTTGTTTTCCTGCTCTGAGGCCCATACGGTGGTTGGTTGTTAGTTTGGTTTTGTTTGTTTGTTTGTTTGTGGGGTTTGCCTTTATTTGGCTTTTTTTTTTTTTTTTTTTTTATAAGAAGTGTAATATCAGACAGCAGTAGTTTTAATGATATCAGGAGGGCTCCTTGCTCTGAGCCTTGGTGCTGTTTTATGTCTCTTGGTTGGGGAATGACTGGATGACCCTTGCTGCCCACCACCGAGATTTATCCCGAATTTTGTTATAGGATCCTCTGAGGGTATCCTGGGTTCTCTGGAAACTGGAGACGCGTGACCTTGTCTTGTCTTATCCAGCCCTTCGCAGTAATGTTGTTACTCGGAACAATTTGCTTTTAGGTGTTTGCCTCAGAGCCTTTTAAGGGCATAACTAAGTAGAGAAATAACTAGTGACAGGCCATTATCTTGCAGCGGGAAGCACTAAAACTAAATGGGATTTGCTTCACCCAGAAGTACATAGCTTGCCCTGTAAATTCAGTCAGAAGGCTAGTTTTGCATCTTTATTTAGACTGAGATTCTGGTTATCTCTGAAGGTCATTATTGGGCTAGAAAAACGTGTTCTAAAATCCATATCAGCTCCAATCCTGTTTCTCTTGGATTTGTGTTAGCATAAGCGTGAAGTTGAAATACTAGATGATCCCAGGAACGTAACAAAATGCACAGCTTTCCTTTCAGAAGCTTTCAATACCAAAGCTGACATGGCTTTGGCAGCTGGTTTAGAGTGTAACTTTCTGCGTGTGCTGGTGTTCTGGGAACCTTCATCTTCGCTTGATAAGAAGCTGATGGCAGCTCAGAGATCTGCTACTGGAGTTTGTTTTGATTTGCACTGCTGTATCAAAAGCATCATCGTTTCCTGCTTACCTGTAATGTTCTTGACTAGAAAAGTGGAAGTTCTGCTGATAACTGATGTACTCATCTTCTTTGTAAAGAAACTACACAGTTTAAATATTGCACTGATAGTTACCTTAGTGAAGTTGTAAAATCCCTGTTGCAATGTAGTGCTTTAATCTCCAGATCTATTGTGTTCTCCTGATAACTTGTTTTTACATAACTACAGTGTTTTAAACCATTTCCTCCGTGCTTTGAGGTGTTTGTTTAAGTTAAAGTAACTGTAAATTTCAATACATAGGTGATGAGAATAGAAAGTGGGGGGGGGGGGGGGGCAGAGATGCATTCACTCAAAGGTATCTGAATTAAACATGAAGCAATAGCAGATTTAGGCCAGCCTTATACTATATTTAGAGGATGTTCGAGGATGCATCTGAGACTGTCACAAAGCTGCAAATTCCTCAGTTCTGCCAATTCAGGTTTCAAGTCTAATCCCTATTAAGGCTTGTTTAAATTAGTGGTGGGGAAGTGCAGCTTTAAAATACCTTGAAGACCATGTAAGAAAACCTTGAGTAAATAAAGCCCATAGCATGTCAACTAGGGAAAAAAAAAAAAAAAAAGAACCTAGAGATGAACTGCTGGAAAAGTAACAGGAAGTGGCCTGTTAACAGAGGCACAAAGTTTGTGGCTCTGTTATGGGAGGCAGATTTGACTGAGAATTTTCCTGTGCCTTCCCCAAAGTCAGGTCAGATCTGACAGACCTGGATTTCGGGAGGGGGTGGCTGGGGGAGGTTGGGAAGGTGTGTGGGTACTTGCAGGGAGAACATGGATAATGACAGGGCAGAAGAATTGTGACAGGGACTACTGGAAATATGACCAAGGGCACAGAAGCTGTCATATGGTCTGCATGGTGCAGTAGAGGAACATAAATGAGTGGCCAATGTCTTCAGAAATCCTCGGATACTGATGATTTCAAATCCCATGGCAGAGTGTAGACTCTTGCTCCAGAGGAGCAGACTGCATTGTTAGCGTAATTGGAAAAAAAATGTGGGGTTTTCTTTCTGTACCTTTCACATAGGAAGCTCCTAACTCTAACCAGTTTGCAAGTTTGGCTTTTTTTTCCCCAGTAGAAAATAATTTTGACCTATACAAGGGACACCTCATGTGAACGAGGGCAGGGGGAAGGGGAAAAAAAGAAACATTTTGAAATTAGAAAGGGAAGAGAGCTCCTCTTTTTTTAATTATTTGTGTATGTGTTACCACAATCTGAGTAGTTCTTTGGAGACAAAGGGCAGTGAAGAGTAACTCAGGCGGGTTGAGGAAACTCTACTGATAAGGGCTCGCCTCATCTGGGCGCTAATCCTGATCTTATTATGTCGCTTTGTGTTTCTGTGTTTGTAGGAAAATGTTGGGAATAAAAGCTGCGGGGGGTAATGTTAGAATTGTCCTATTTCATTACTGCTCTGTTGTTACTATGAAAAATTACAGCATTCTTAGTCCCTAACAGTCCTTGGTCCACAAAGGACACTTAAGAAATTAAAGCCTCAATATTGCAATGCTGCCCAACGAGATTGTCTTAAATTATCAGCTGTGGGTCACAGAAAGAGTTAGGCATCACCAGATGTACGTAGAAATAAGGATAACCTGCAGGATGCTCGCTCCCCTGGCTCAAGCAGCTGTTACACAGAGGCATTCCCTGCTGGTGAGCCCTTCACCTGTGTCCACGTGAAGCTGGGCTGGAGACAACCAGACCTTGCCTGGTTGTCAGCAAGGCAAGGGGCGAGGCTGGACGGTGGTTTTGACTCACCACAAACGTGGGCTCTGGCCCAAGGGGTCAATCCTGCCTTCCCACCTCACCTCTGGCTATGCATTCCCCACCTGCCGCTCGCTCGTGCTGGCGCTGTCACTCCTGGCCGAGTGCAGATCTGCTCTGGTTGTTGCTGTTGGCCTGGTTTTCTGCTGGATGAGTTCCTGGGTCTGACTCAACGCGCCGAGGAGTCAGCGAGGACGTGTGTGCTGGGGGGGAAGAGCAGGGGGATCCTCCTTGTGCTCCGCTGGGAGCCCCACTGGGACCAGACCAAACCAGCAAGGGACCTGCGGCCTCAGGAGCTCACTTGGTGCTTGATTTACACGCCTCTTTGTGTAAATCTCCCAGTTTGGCTCCTGTCTGGGCGGTTTGGAGGGCGAGGAGCGGTGCCTGCCTGTGTCCAGCCACCTGTGCAGACACATCCTTCGAGGGTCTGGTGGGCTGAGCCAAAGGGGAAACTTGAAGGGCATATAGAGTATTCTGCAGCAGATGTTTTGTCTGTTATTGCTTTTATTTCCCCCATTTGTTTTGTTTTGTTTTGTTTTTTTTTTTTAATGGTAAGACTGTAACTCCCATTTCTTTATCGCCATCTGAAGTAGATTTTTGTCTGTGTGGTTTTTGTAGTTTGTTGTTGTTGTTTTTGTTTGTTTAGGTCTTTTATCACAGCGCTTTCAGGCTTACTTAAGAAAATAGAGTTGTCTTTGGGTGATACACAGTGTTAAAATTACAGCTAACTAGGTCCTTGCGCAGTGAAACAGTCACTAGTAGGATTTTAGGTGTAGGCATGTAATTAATGTTCTATTGGTAGTTACTGAAAACTGGAAACCCTTTTCTCCCTCAAATCTCTGGCTATAGTAATTTTTGTTCAAGCATGAGGCATATTGAAGGTTTGGAAAATATACCTGTAATATTAGCTGTGTATTGCAAGAGTTGCTCGTCTGTGGGTTTCCTTTGTACCTGTGCTTGGGCAGTTTCAAGTGACTGGAAATGACAAGGGGCTCAGTTCTTCCACCCATGCTCACAGCAAAAGATAACCTTGTTCCCCCAAAATACACTGTTGTGTTTGATTCTGAAGTTTTCTCCTTCCTGAAAGTAATTTTTGAGCAGCTGTGCCCTTAAGAGATTCATATAATAGGTTTTCTATTTAACTTTTAACCCGTTATAC